GATCAGGTGTTACTGTTGAGCTAAAACAACACTTCACCTTTAAATATACCGGAAATTAGAAGAAAGAAACTAGAACAAGGGATAAATGTCTTGCCACGTTTTTTATATTAATTATATAAATACTATTAATACTCATTTATAACTATGTGCATATTTTATTAGGTGACATCAGCTGAAAATGTTTCCATACGGGTGAAATTTCACTCTGGATTACTGCAATCATTTCCTGAATCAGTCACGTGGTAGTGCGGCTTGTCATATGATACAAAGTACAACCCTCAATAAAAACGAAAGTAATTTGTGCGCAGTACTCTACAGAGAGGGACTCGTCTCTAAATGTTTTTCTTATTGTTTGTAACTCGGAAACTCGGTTTGCCGTTGATCAGCAGATGCCTCTTCTGCACGTTAGTGCAGGTGAAGTTACAAACTGTTAATATTAATTATTGTAAGGCGTGTCTCCGTGCTGACCTTGAACATTCAGGCGAAGTTTGATTAGCGTTTTCCTCATTCTCAGTGCGTTAATATGAACTACCTGACAGACAGGCTGGGTGAGTTTGAGATCCTTCAACATTAATGCGCCTGCAAACGGATAAAACAACAGGATCATGGCTGGGATCAAGTGCGCAGTGTTTCTGTTTCTGGTGCTCCTGACATTTACGTGGACTTTAACCAGAGGAGGTGAGTTAGCCATTTACTACACACACTACCTTACTCCAGTGTAAACAGAAGTTACCTGGTTTTAATCTGAAAAAACTACTCGAGAAAACAAATACCAGGAAGTGCAACGAGAGAAACTCCAAAAAAAGCTGAATGTGTGAGGAGAGGCAGAAGTGTCATAACCAGAAACCAACAAATGTCTCCAAGACAGAACTTAGAAATAGAAAATGAACCTTTATTTGTGCTGAGGCAGCAGTCGACAAGGCAGCAGAACTGAGAACACAGCCCGAGAATAATATAATAGAAACAAACATGAAATAAGACTAAATCTCGGCAATCTAAATGACAAGAATAGGAACAAACTAAGCAGAAAATACAATTGCCAACACAATAGCCAATGATAAACTCAAAACGTTGGGTCACAGAGCAGGATCATGACAAATAATGTTTGTGATTTATTTTCCTTTATTATTAAATATTATCACTCTCAGTGAAATGGGAATGTGGTTTAAACAATCAGTTTGTATCTACATCTAAAACCTGCTGGTGACAGGAAAATAGAGAATATACAGTAGATCAGGGCTGGCTGTCACACTTCAGAATCAGAGAAACTTTATGAATCCCAGAGGGAAAATCAGTTGTCATAGCAGCAAATATACAATAAACAACAAACACTCATAGAGTAATGATAAATAAATATAAAGATAAATAGATGAATATAGGTATAAATATACATGTATATTAACATAAAAGGACAAGTATGTGTGTCGTGGTGTCCAAAAGTGACAGGGTGCATTGAGGTGGGATTATTCTGGTCCACATGTGTGGATCTGACCCACGTGAATGATTTAAAGAGTTTGATGGCAGCAGAAAGGAAAGACCTCCTGCAACGTTCCCTCAGACAGCGAGGTTAAAGGAACCTGTTGCTGAAACTGCTCCGGTGGCGCCAGTGTCCGGCAGCCTCGCCTCTGTCAGTGCGCCCCAGGGTGGCTGTGGCCATCACCAGTGTGTGAATGGGTGGATGACTGGATGTGTAAAGCGCTTTGGGGTCCTTAGGGACTAGAAAAAGCACTACACAAATACAGGCCATTTACCATAGTAGAAAGCAAAGCCGGCTCAGTCCCTTTTTGTAGGCAGCGTCCGTGTTGGCAGACCACTCCAGCTTGTGATCCAGTTGAACTCCCAGATGCTTACAGGATGTGACTATTTCAACATCAGGATCTGTTTCTGCCAAAGTCCACCACCAGCTCCTTTGTTTTGGTCACATTCAGCTGCAGGTGGTTCACGTTACACCACCTCACAAAGTGACCAATCAGTCCTCTGTACTCCTCTTCCCTTCCCATCTCCACACTTCCAATAATGTTCATGTCATCTTTGGATTTCTGGAGGTTAATCACAAGTTTATGTGATGTACTTGAAGTCGAATGTATAGATGGTAAAGAGGAAAGGGGACAGAATAGTTCCCTGGGGTGCTGCTATGTTCCTGTTCAGACTCTCTGACACACAACTCTGCAGCCTCACAAACTGTGGTCTGCCTATCAGGTAGTTGCTGATCCAGTGGAGCCTCCATCTGCATAGCCTCCAACTTCTCTCTCAACTGGATTGTGTTAAAGGCGCTAGAGAAGTCAAAAAACATTATCCAAACTGTGGTGTTGGGTCTGTCGAGGGAGGAATACGCTCTCTTACAGAAACATCTTTTAATAACAGTTCCTTTAATTAGATCGAAGTTCAGAGTTCTGGCTCGAAATGAGCGTCCTTTACATTTTTGCTGTTATTGTTACAAAAAGAAATTAAATTAGTTATCGATGGGCTTTTCAGTAGAAAATGGAGATTAAAAATGAAGTCTAAGTTTTATTTTTTTCAAATAGAGACATCAGTAAGTTTAGAAATGAACACATGTTCTCATCCTCCTTATATTTAAACAATGAATTTGAACCAGTAGTAATGATTGTGAATCATTCCCTATGGGAACTGTGAAATGACAGAATTTATGGTGCTCGATCTTTGGGATCCACATTTTAAGGTTGCTGGTCTTGGTCCCTGTGCCTCACTCAGAGCCACATGAGTCAGTCATGACAGATGTTTTCCTCTGGAGTCACAGGGACACAATCTTTCTAAGATCAGTTTTGGACAACACAACAAAGCAATGTTTCCATGTGTCGGCTCAACACGAAACCTTCTGCCAACAAGGAAACAAACAAAAACATCCCTGCCTTTACATGCCTCACTCTAAAAACATTATCACACGTCTCATATTTTTAATAAATCAGGTCAAAGGTCACTTGGTAAAATAACTAAAATGGTTATACAGAGAAACCAAACTACATACACATTTAAAATGATGCGCTGACTTTGGCATCACTGCTGTAAATTAAATCTGTTCTTAAGAACTCTAAAAGATTGTTGGAGAACCTGTTTAACTGAAACCAAGTTACTGTTTTTCTGGAGTCAGCTGGAAAGAGCAGAGACATTAGCCTGTGGTACAGGGAAAGTCTTCAGTCTGCAGTTTACAATTCTTGCTTTGTAATTTACTGTATTTTCATGTTTAAATTTATTGGGCTCCTGATGATTTTTAGTTTTAGATACTTTTCTGTTTTCAGCTTCTGTCTTGATTTTTAGTTGTCTCTGGTGTTGCTCTCAGTTTTGTCTGAAGTCCTTCTAATGTCCGTCTGAGTTTTCCTTGAATGTTGTCTCATTCATCCATCCGAGCCTCCTTTAAGTATTTTCTTTTCCTATTTCCTGTTTTACTTTGATAGTTGTCTTTTGCTTCTTGCTTTGGTTCGTCCATGATCGTCTTCACCTGTGATGCACATTCACTGCACATTTCTCTTTGACTCCATCTTTGTATCTTTGTCCCTCCCACTAAATCTGAGCTAATGGGGAAAAAAAGACACAAGCTGGGAGGAGAAAGGAGTCCCCAATCAATGGCTTGTATAATTCAGAAATTATCAAATGAGGGATTGAAACCAGTCGACGTGGCATAGTAAGATTGTTTTCAGGGTCAGTAGTAGTCTGTACTACGGCTGTAGTCCTGTCAGCTCAGAGTCATTTGGTGGTGGAGGAAGGGTTATATTATTTCTGGGGGACTACTAGGTTTGACATTTAATTCTATACATGCATTTGCTTATCCCACTCTCAATAAAACATTACTTAACAACCCAAATTTTCACTCTAAAGCATCTAAAAATGTTTTGAGTTGCAGATCTTACTTTATGATCACGTGTCTCTTGCTGTTGTTGCAGATACCGATGTGTCCTGCATTTTCATGGAGACCTGCATGCTGCCATGCAGCTCTGAGGGAGCCACTGCAGTCATCCACTGGTTCCAGCAATCAGCAGGAAACCGTTTTGTTCATTCATTCTATGAAGGCAAAGACCAGCTTGGACTGCAGAACCAGCGCTTCAGAGGCAGGACGTCACTGTTCAGCGACCAGATCTCCTCAGGAAACGCCTCACTCCTGCTGACAAAGGTGGAGGTTCAGGATGAAGGGAGATACAAGTGCTACACCAGCACTGAAAATGGAATCAAAGAATCATTTATCAATTTAAAAATGGATGGTACGTGACACACAATGCATTCATTTTAAAGAAATGCATGTTTTTAATCTTTATCATTTTCTCCAAGTGTATGTATAAATGTTTCTACTTATATTCATATATTTTTTGCAGAAATAGCTCTAGTTAAAATATAAATAAAAACCAATATCATGTACCATGCATGTATGTATTGACTGTAAAAACTAGATTTATCTGCAAGTAAAAGACCTGCAAAGAAAATGCAGCTACTGATGCAGTCCAGAAAATGTATGAGAATAAAGAAAAACACTACAATTAGTCTTTTGATGAAACACTTGATTTAATGACAAAGATGTCCTGCTCATAAAAAGTTCAGTTAAAATACATCATTCGGTGTAGAAAAATCGAGCACTGGTAACACTTGACTATATTTCTCCTTTTCAGCTTTTTCACTGTACTTGCTTTATAAATGCTAAAAAAAAGGAACCCATAAAGATATGTGAACATAAACTCGGTCTTTCTTTTTCTTTTTTTCTGCAGCTCCAGTCCATGAAGTTGACATTCAGCGGGAAGGAAACACACTCACCTGTTGCTCAGAGGGGATCTACCCTGAGCCTGAGCTCACCTGGTCCACCAGTCCTCCATCCAATGTGAACAGCAAGTGCAACACCAGGATGCAGGAGACTGAGCAACACCTGTACAACATCAATAGCTCTGTGACACCTTCAGACAGCGACACTGATCTGACCTTCAGCTGCACCATCAGCACTCGCCGTAGCAAGAGGAGTGTAACTTGGCCCTCCACCTCATCTAAACAAAGTAAGCAGTGAAGACAATAATGTTGTAATATGATGTACTGTATGTTAAATTCACCTTAATCCTAAAATGACATCAGATAATGTTTTGTCATACAAGAAGGAAATCCACACAGTGTTGAAATCAATTTTAACTCTGCAAACCATGATTCACAAAATAGATGAATAATAAATTCACATTGTTTGTAATTGGAATTTTAAAAAATTAATTAATTAATTGTATAATTTTGGCTACATCTTGATTTTTTTTGTGTAATTTAGTCGGTTTTATCAGGAAAAAAAATCTCTCTGAACTCTCGAAAACTCATAAAATCTCATCTATCAAATATGATGTATGAGTGTGATACATGATATGATCGGTGTTACATATGGGCTCAAATTGTGCTCATAAATATTTTGAACTTGTAAATCAAATGTGTACTGAGTACTGATGAGAATTTGTGTGTGTTTGTAAAACACAAGTTACAGTTTTTTACAGTTTTAAACGTAGTTTTTTGCTTTGTATCTGTAACCAGACCTCAACAAAAAACAATTTGTAACTTGTGTAATTATTTTTACAAACACAAATTCTCATCTATAGATGCACAGACATAAAATTGTCAGATATTTTGGTTTACAAGGTTACAAAACTCACAACTACAAAGTACAAAATATTTATGACCACAATTTGTGTTACGGGGTCAATTTTCTTTAACATACATGTGCAATGCAGCGTTCTCACATACAGTTTAGACCTTAATCGGTTAATAATCAAGTTTAGTGTTATTTACACGTTTTTATCAAGTTTTATGCAGTTAAACAAAAACTCTGATTTCATTATATTCTAATAATATTATTCTAATTAAACCACATTCTGATGATAAAGCAAAAATAATAATAATAATAATGATGATATAGAGGGACTGGGTGCTTATCCCATTCAGAGCCATGATGAGGTTTGAGCCAAAAGACATTTTAAGTGATTCTGTTTCTTCTGTTTCAGGTAATTCAGGAGCTACTGTAGCAGGAGTGATTGCAGCCATTGTGATTACAGGGGCAGTAGCAGCAGTAGGCTTCGTGCTGTATAAGCGCAGAAAGGTAAATAACTTTCTCCCTTCACTTTGCAGTTCATTTTGTTCATGTTATTTATACTGATTATGTTTTTTTTTTTTTCTAAAGTCGATACCTCAGAGCAACACCAACAAAACACATACGTGAGTAAATCTTGTTTGAACTACACTAAATAAAAAATGACTTGTTTGAAAACAGTGTTATGGTCATGGAGATAAAACCAGATGTCTATAATGAATGAAATTAAACTGCTGTCGAGTCAAAATGATTTAGTAGTGAGTCAGACTTAAGCAACAACATCCATGACATGAAAACAGAAAATCAGATGAAGCACATTCAGATTGATGTGGTGATTTTTTTTTTTGACTGTATATGTTTTTTTATTATTCATAATGATGACATGTTTCCAAATGGTCTCTTTTCATCTTTTTGACAGTGACACTGAACTTAAGGTGGAGCTGAATAGAAGCTCTGCCACGGAACATCTGGCAGACCCCAAGCAGACCCCAGCAGCTCTGCTTCAGCCCTGCACTGAACCCTCCTGAGTGCTGGATCTCTGCTCAGTAAAGCAAAAACTTTCATAAGTGAAAAACCTGCTGAAAACGACATTCAAATGAGTTACTTAGTTACTCATACGTGCACTGAGGAGCAAGGACACTTTTTTTTTTTTAATTCTGTTTTTGTCTATGCTGATTCTTGGTCATAACCTAAATATTTTGATATGCCTCCTTCTGGACCTTTGATTTTTGGTTGTGCAGCACAAAGAAGAATGTTGCAAAAAAGAAGAGTCTCAGTCACAGAGGCAGCTTTGATTTGTTTGTCAAAAACTGCTGATAAACTTGAGTTTAGCTACTAGCTGGTAGCTTTTCAACATGTTCTTCTACTGTGGAACGAAAAAATAACATTAAGCACTGCAGACAGTTTTAGATGATGTGAGAGATACTTTTTTTTTTCTTGTTATTTGTGTTTACATATGATTGATTTGTTTTATGCAGTTTAATATAAATGTAAATGTCTGAAACTGACATCCTGCACAGTGTTTACAGCTACCAACTATTTTCAGTCCTGAATGGGCTGAGATGAGGGACCGTTTAATTTAAGTGCAGCAGACATCATTTCAAACTTCAGAGATGATCAAGTTTACAGCTGTTGTTTGAGTCATCTGGCATTTAATAAACACAGAGGGGGGACCGTCAAGCTGCTGGAAGAACCACGCAGAACATCTTAAGGTGGATTTGTACTGTATTGTAGTAAAAATACACTGTCACCAGGACAGGATCTCACCTGCTGTGTCTCGGAGGGCAGCTAAAAATAAAAGGTGGGTGAGAGAAAGACCTGAGGAGTGTAGAGGAATTTCTTTTATGCATGTATTATTTTACTGTATAATGCCTTGGTGCCACTGGGTTTTAATATGGCTCAATGTCTCACACATTCATGCCATTGAACAGCCGGGTGATTGTTGGTGGAAGCAGACAACTCCACAGAAAGAGTCTTTTGTCTCTTCAACGACTGTGAGAGGTAGCAAGGGAGTGTGAACCTTTCTTTGGGGGAAAGGCCGATGGTCTGAAGCAGCCATGTCCTGCTTTTTGTTCCTGTAGGAGGTATTTAACCCAGGGCCATGCTGGGCTCAGGGAGAGACACTGCTGACCGTCTGCCCCAGCGATGGCTTCTCTCACCAAGCTTGGCTTTTTGATCTTTTTTTGATTAAAGGATGTTAGCTACCACCCACCGTTTGTCTGCAGGCTTTATTAAATGGAAACTTCCACAACAGGAGCAGCAACTAGTAACTCGTAGGTTTCTTTGTGTCTTTTCAAATGCTGCCATCTCGAAAATGAATGTTTTGTGTGTATGTGTGTGTATATAATGCATAAGAAACTTAAATAAATAAACAACTTGACTAAAATATATTAAGAAAAATTTTTTTCAGTCCATGTTTAGTAGCTGAAGATGGTTTCTGCAGTTCCTGCAGGAAGACACACACACAAAGACAGACTTACTCCAAAATGTAGTTTATTGGACCAAGGGAGGAACTACAGCAGTTTAGAACAATTAAAAACAATTAATTTAGAGAGATTTAGGACCTCATGTAGGTTACAGGCTTCCTATCAGTGGCCTTTACTTTTTTGAACACCACTGATTATATTAGAACCTTCTTATACTAACACAGCTGTGATGAAGATTAGTTAAGATTTTTCAAACTGTAAGAGATAACTATAGATCTTTAACTTTTTTAAAGCTTGTCCGACCAAAGTTATTCAAACATCTAGGTGAAGGCAGGTTAAATTAGATGAGCTTTGTTACTTCCTAGTGGATAAGAAGAGGTGAGTGAGGCATTACTGACTTCCGAAAAGACTAAACTTCATTCTCTAAACCAAATTCTCAGTGGCCTAAACTTAGTAGTTGAATAAAATCTTCTTTTGTCCAAACCTTAAACACTGTTCAGGGTCTTAGGCACAATCTGCAAAACTCATACTCTTTTTTTCAAAACCTTAAACACATGCTCAGTCAATAAACACATTTAACACTTGAATAACAGTTGTCATCTTTTACACACAGCAACGAACAATTGAACACGCGTGTTTCTAATGATTTAATCAGACCAACTGAACAGGATAAAAGTCCGTTTGAGGGGGGAGGACGACCAAGAGAAGTCATTACTGATGAAATTCAGGCAACTATTGCACACCATGTCCTTGTTCATGGAATGACAACGAGGGAAGCAGGATAAGGAGTCCAACCCAACCCTACTGTTACTGTAGGCTAGTAGTTGCAGTTGCAACTCTTGCAATATGACAATATGAGGCATGCTTTTAGAAAATGTGTGTAAACAATTGGGGAAAACTGTAATTGCAATGATCTCTTCACAGTTATGTGGTTTACATCTAAGAAAAACAAACCAGGAAACCTCTCTGTTCAGTCGGCGTGGGCACGAAGGCGGAAACATTCCTGCATACTTGCGTAGCGAGAGCTACATGTTCCTTAGAAAACTAGGTGTCAAACATCAGGCAGCAGTTCTTGTTGTACAACCAGCTCTACAGTTTTTCTTTACATGTCTTTCTTTACATCGTTTCTCATAATGCTTTCGTTTCATTATTTCCGTGTTCTCTGGCTCCCCCTGGAGTGTGGGAGCAGGCTATGTAGGCAGTAATTATGGTCTTAGTACTAATTAGCATTTTAAGCCAAAAATAAGTAAAATTAAATGTGACACAGTTCTGTTGTAATTAATTACCATCCTCCCTTCTTTGATATAGAGCTATTTGGACTGAATGCTATTCAGAGGTATTTAATACAGTTAGACACAACAACAACAATAATAATGATTGTTGTTGTTTTTCTTCAGCTAATTTATTATAGCTGAAATGTAAAGTTTAGTGGTTCAAATTAAAACCATGTATTTATGGAGCTGAACAGGGTAAATCCACTGATGTTCTGAAGATCTCCACGGGAGAAATGTTGGTTTCGTTTGAGCACAGCATTTCAGTTGACATCAGATTTCTGTGATGCTTCAAAATAGAAAAGTATGAAAAGCATTTAAATGGATTATTCTTCTTCACTGCTTACTGGTTTATTTTCTTGAGTTTTAGTTCATTTTTAAAAATTAATAATGTCTAACAATAAAACGCTGTTACCTTTTCTCTCCAGCAGGGGGTGCTGAAGTGACACTTTTTTACATATTGAGAAAAATAATCTTACAGTACAACATGACATCTAAATCATGGCCTGAATATTTTCTATGAAAGAGTAAAACAACCTCAGAGGGAATTCTCTTCCTCCTGTATCACACCTGCAGAAATGACCTTGCTTAGTATACAGTGTCTGCTTTACAGCACTGCAGTCAGACCAGGGGAATCTAACATGGGATTTTTATCCTACAGGTTAGACATTATACTGAGTCAGTAACGTGCTCCACATTATACCGAAAAGGGCATTTCTATAGCTTTACCTCTTCAGCACCTGGTCAGGAGAACCCAGGCCAAGGCTAACAGCAACGCCAATATGAATGACATTCTGCCAAACACTCGCCAAGCCTTAGACAGTGTCTGTGAAATGTTATAGAAACATTTCCTTTTTTGTGGTTCTTTTTATTCTTATTCACCCAACCATTTTTTGGGCAGCCGACCTCTTTGAACAGTTTAATTACATGAACACTGTGAGCAGTTGTTGATTAACTTTCCATTAGTATGTCACAAAAATGTATTTAGATGAAGGGTGTGTTGTTTTTCACAGTGAACACGCTACGCTGGCGTAAGCAACAGAACCAGCTGGGTCAGATTTCACCATCGCTGTTCACTCTGTTTGAACACTCAGGTAGTGTAGCATGAAAATGAGCAGGATGCTGGCTGGGATCAAATGTGTCGTGTTTTTGATGGTCCTGATTTTCCAGTGGACTCATGCAAGAGGAGGTGAGTGAGATGTTCTCTACACCTATTACGTTATTCTAGTATAAATGCAAATCAATGTCATGTTGTTTAGAAAGCCAAATAAAGGAGGAAATGTAATAAAGACAGAGACTCTGAGTCAAACTTAAAAGCTCCCAGGGCAAAACTCTCAGATGTAAATCTCAGAAAGGTGTGTAGACAAACCATGTTCTTTCTCTTTATTATTTATCGTCATTATTCAGTGAAGCAGGACTATGGTTTAAACAATGTTTGACTGCACAATAGTGAGTTTGTTCAAAGTGTCAGCAGTAAGGATTTCATTAAACATACACAAAGACAAAATATATAATTATCAAACCCTCAGTGTAACTGTGTGAAGTTTATAGTTAAAGGAAAAGTGTAATATAAATAACAAGGTACAAAAACAATTTCAAGTCAGGTTAAATGTCCCTTCAAAACTGTGACTGTAACATATGAACATATGTTTATTAATAAACAGCAAAAAGAAAAGTAGTAGGGCCTGGTCTGTGGATTTATATCTATCTATCTATCTATCTATCTATCTATCTATCTATCTAT